GTCATAAAATGTAAAAACAATTTGCATTGTAGGTAATGTTTGTATGGGTGGGCTTTAGAAAATCTTGGCATACACATAGCTTCAGGAATATGATGTAGTATGTGGAGCACAAGTCAGAGAGATCAGAAATATTCCACTTGGTTTTTGAGCATTTTTCACTGTTAACTTGGTAAAGGATGTAATGAGGTTGTAACTGCAATTGTTCTTTCTTATGTTACAATTTTGTTATGCCCTACATTGAGATGTATGGCAGTAATACAGGCATATAATGCCACATAATGCAGTTCTTCTTATTGTATTTACAAGTTTATTTTTCAATCAGCGTACAAGTATTTACATAAAAACGAAATATATCCTTTTATATCCTTTTATTGAGAAACTATGCAATGAAATAAAGTCTTTCAACGTCCTTTTTAATTTTAAATATTTATTAGTTATTTTAAAAAATCTATCTCAACTTTAGTGAGTCTCTTGCAATCATTTTTGTTATTTATTAAAGGTAATATATAACACTATTATGCAGGATTTAAAAATCTTCAATTGATCATATTTTCATTCCCCAGGTTCACAGCAGGCAGGTCTCATATTACTGGTATTTGTTGTTTACATGCTGGTGCACTATTTCCTTTTTCTGAATATGAAGTATGTAGCCTTTAATAGATTGTAAGCATATTGTTATAAGTTATTCTATGTTAGGATACTGCTTATAAACTATGGAAAGTTATATTAAGCAAAATTTTGTGTCAACTAAATTTCCTAAGCATTGCTGTTAAAAAACTTGTATCTAGATAATAGTAACTATTTGGATCTAAGTTATGTGAATATGGTTTTAAAATGTTTTTATTAACAGCAATGTTAAAGAAATTAATATCTGCACAAAATGAATTTTAATAGGACTGGAGGACCCACAAGGGTTTGATATTGAACAAAGGAAAAGAAATTATTTAAATGTCATGAAATCTGGACACTGAGACTTTGGTAGTGTACAATGTGATTTCTGCCTAACCCATGCCTGAAAGCATTCACCAGCAGTAAAGTCAAAACTATTATGGGTAAATGTCTTATCACCCCAGTGTTTAGAAAACTTAATCCTGAATTCAAAAATTTTGCTTTTTTTTAATCTGCATAGTGATTGTTTTGATATAACAAATGGCAAATTTCAATTGTTAAAAGTGACCAAATAGTAGAAACTTGTCTCAACTGCTTCCAGTATATACAGCAAATTAATAAGCTCTGTCTTTATCTGGTGATTTTTAATGACTGATTTCTTTTTGTCTTGCTACTGCCGGAAGGTACACCTTGCTACAGTAGGTGGACAAATAGTGCATCTCCGGAAATGTAAGCTTTCTTCTTAACAAGAATTCATGCAGAAGTGCCCTTCCATGAGTAGTTTTCATTTAACCTTCTGTAATTTTAGTTATATTCAATTCTTTAAATGTGTATTTGAACCAATGCATGTAGGTGTGTAGATACATTACTTTTATACTGCAATTTGTTTCGAATATAGTTTACTGTCACAAGCACAAAACAAATTTATGTATGTCTATGATATAACAGTTAAAACCAGATGTCTGTTAATATCTATATGGTTTGTGGATTTTCTATGTGTTCCCTTGTTCTAGAAACGTAGGTGGCCAATGTCACTAAGCCATCTCCTTGCCGTTTAGGCAGCCATATGAAATACTGTCTTCAGAACCAGATCAAATTCTTCTTATGACTTATGTTTTCTTGCTCCCAATTCTATATGTGTGAATTCCGAAACTTCATTACTCTGATGATTCGAAGGTTTTAATGTCTAATATCAGTATATTAATGGCTGTTTATTCTTGTGTTTATTTTGTCAGTTAATCTTGACTTTGGACTCTTCTTAAAAGTAAATAACTATATACTTTATACTCTTTATCAGGAAGTCCAGCTTTTCCGTTGTAGAGGTCAGTTGCATGCTAACCTGCAGCAGCTTACAGCTGTGTAGTTCTAAATTCACATGCAAAGTGCATTGGCTTTTTTAAAACACCCACCTCAACAGATACATGTTGAAGGATTTGAGGGAGGTGTGATAACAATCCCAAGTCAGGACAGTGGAATGGATGAGGTACCCAATCACCAATCCATGCAAGTTTTGAAACAGTGTGTGAAGCAGTACAAAGTGTTTAAGAGCTTGGTTTTAACACAAATTAATTCCTGCTGGATTAAAATAAAAAACTGAGGAATTAGTGAGACTTTTTACCTTGCTTGTATCTAACTAATTTTACAATTTGATTTAAAGGGAAGTGATCTTTCACTTTGATGAATACCACCAGTAGTTGTAATACCTCAAGTATTACAGCAGTTAATTCTTTAGGTGCATATTAACTAAAGTGAAATCTAGGGCTGTAGGTAAATGTGTATGTTTCCTGAGCCAGGACTAGCAAAGTTCAGTGTTTCTAAATGACATTAACAACAGCCAATTTACAAAGCAGGGAACTCCTACCTACACTTATGCTAATATTGGACTTGCACTTAAGCATAGCAATGCTGTGTAGAGAAGTTTCTTCTTGATTGAAGGAACATACATGGTAAAGGTGCCACATGATTCAGAAAGCAGCTGAAATAGCATCTTTGAGATGATAGTACTGGATTTAGATAAAATATGTGTGTGCAAGTACTATTTTTTTTAATTGACACTAGCTGCTCAGTATTATTTGTAGCATGTATGAGACCAAAGCATTCTCATTATTTAGGAAGTGCTGCTTATCACTAGCATAACGTGTCATGTATTAAGAACATGAGACTTTGTGATTTTCCTAGTGAATCATGACATCATCACTGAAAAGGAGATGAAACAAGGACTACTGACATAAACTAAGCAGCGTTTCAGGCACTTTCCATTTTTCACTGTTGCAGGACCCTTCAGACAGAAAGGAAAGACACTTGTCATTCAAGTTGAATGCTCCACTCCTTAGTCTATGCATAGAAAGTCAAAAATATCACCATGATTGCTGTTGTTTTAAGGAAAGAAAAAGGCACAGCTGTCCTCAGCTTTACTCTGTCCTATTCCCATGCAACAAGTCCAGATTGTAGGCAGCAATTTATGGGACACACTGAAGTGCAAGCCTCAATCAGTTAGAGTTTCAAAGTGGTAAAAGAGTTTGGATAGATCCCAACAGCTACTACTTAATAGCTAACTTGCAGCAGTCCCCTGCTTAGACTATTCGCTGTCGTAAATCTCACTCTAAGGCGCCTTACTCTGCCCCTCGTACACTATGAGAAACTGGGGAATTTTACTGCTGGATTTTACTTTGAGGCCTCAGTTCATAAGTGTTCCCCACTTTTGTTACTCGATCTAGTTCACCACACCTAGTTGATCCTCATGTGTGAGTATTTTGGGGTGAAGACTGCTGAACTGCAAAGAAGTTAAAATTTGGTTGTTGGTATATTTGAGAAGCTTACTTTCAGTGCTTAATTTCTTTTTGCCTTTTTTAAAGTCCAACAGCTATACTTAATCTCTCACATGACAATATGTTTTCTTCTACTTAAGACAAAAGTATTGATTTTTGAAGCACCAAGTATTTCTCCTGCTACCCCTAGATTGAATGTAAAGAGAAAGATCCATGGTGCAGCTAGTAGTTTGTATATTGACACAGGTAGCACGCTTTTATCAGCCTGCAAATGTGTGTTCAGAATCAATAAGCATAAACATTTAAGTAGAATGAGATATTTAAGAGTGTACATAACAGGGATATTTTAATTATATATGATGGGTTTATTATATGTAATTACAAATATGTGTTAATAAATAAGTCTTTGGCTTCCTGTGATTCAGGAACACTGAAATGTGTGCTGCTGCATATTCAAGGTCAAGTTATTTTCCACAGTGTAAAAAAAAATTACATTTTTCAGCTAAGTGCAAAATTTGTCTTATGAAATTTTAATTAGAAATTGTTTATCTGACTTAGAAGATAATAGAAAGGAGGTATTTATTTTCCTTCACTTTCCGAAAGGTGATCGTACTTACAAAATTTGCAGAGATTGTCCAAGAAAGTATGTAAAATCCTCATCCATCACTGAGAGCCCCTGGTCAGGGAATGACAGTGCAGTAAATATCTTCAGCAGCTGCCTTTTAATGTACAAGCTGTTTTCGGTAGGAATTTTCAGCACTCACATAAAACACACTGTCATGAGTGACTGCCTGTGCTCCAAAGTCATTACTATTGGGATGATGGAACATCTTTCAGTGAATAACCAAAAAACTTTAAATGTCATGTCAAGTGTGTTGAAGGCATTTTCAAGCCTTGCTCAAGGTTACATGAATATTGAGTAGGCCTGTTTTTAAAAAGTTTGAGATCTATGAGAGGGACCACTCATGTGCTGGTTTGGAGAACAGTCACTTGATTTGGAAGCGGGGGTGGGGAATGACAAGAAAGAAATCTGTTTATTAATACATGCCAAACCTGTAAAACTCCTGCCTGGATATTAACTGAGTGCAACTTTGTGTGACAGTCAATGCCAGTGATATTTACCAAAATGTAGTGAATTATGCAATTTCTTGAAATTACTTAGCTGTCTAAAAGTTCACAAAGGAAAGAAAAGTTATTACAATGGATAATTAAATTGAAATAGATTTTTTAATACATTTTAAGATTTGAACAATTAAAAAAATATGTAGGAAATATAATTAACCGGATAAAACCTCGGAAGACACTGAGAGATGCTAGGTACTCTGTTTTATCTTTGACTCCAGTAAGAAAGGAGGATCCTGTCAAGCTCTATCTGTGATTTTGTAAGAAATATGGATGCTAATCTAATGAAGTCATGTAAAGTCTGTATCACTTCCAAGGGACCAAGCCTACTGCTTTTGAAGTGATAATATATTTTTTCTTGCCTCTTTGGCAATCATTACTCCTTCTAGTGCATCATCTGCATGTAAAATTTGTCTGATCAAGAGGTCTTTTTATATTACAAAATGTTGAAACTGAGTATTTTAATAGTGAAACAAGGTTTGTTTGATTTATCTTCTGCAGAGAACCAGAAAGAACAACTAGAGAAGCCGTGTTCACACCACAGTATCAGTTTAAACTTGACAAGAAGCCCAGTCACCAAAGAAGTTACATATGATGTGGAAACAAGTTCCAAGGCATGGAACAAGGCTGTTGGGAGAAAGGAAGACTGTCACGGAGAAGGCAACAAGGAAAAGAAAACAGATCGTATGGGATCTCCTTTTCAGGGAGAAGCCATTCCAGAAGTAGAAGCTCTCTTGGCAAGACTGCGAGCACTGTAGAATACTCATATAAAAGATTAAATAAAAGCCTATAAATAATAGTCTACATCTTTAAAAATACAGTAATTTTCTATTATTGACATTGCATACTTCTGAGTTCCTAAATTCTCTGTGGATGAATGATCTACTTCTAAACTGTTTGCAAGACTGTACAAAACAATACTATATTTTCGCATAACTGCAAGATGATTTTTTATTATGTGTTTTTACATAGCAAGCATATGAAAAGTATCAGAAGTAAAACTAAATTATTTCAAGGTACAATCCTTTTAGTGGACAGACTGCTGACCACCTGATCTGAATGCTTCTCAAAATAGGAATATTTTAAATATTGTTAAATCATCACACCTGGGAATAGGGTCAGTAAATAACAGAAAAGGTGTTCTTATATTTTCTGCTATAATTCCTGTACTTAAGAGGTTTCAGCACCCTAAATGTATCGTTACAGTATCCTTTACAATTACAGTAATAGCAAAAATGTATAGTATAAATCAGCCATATTCCAACTTGAGTTCATCAAAGAGCACCAAAGCTTGCTGGATAATATGTATGTATTTACCAAATGGTAATCCATGGGTAGTAAACAAAAAATCTATGCAAATAATATATTTTTTGTGTGTTTAATATATCACTGCTGTTAAGCTTAGTTATGATTATTAAATCAAAATAATATATACAATTGCTGTGATTGCAAGGTTTTGCAATTCTCTCTGTAGTTGGGGAAAATGTCTTCACAGTTATCTACCAGTGTAATATTTTATCTTTTCACATGTGAGTTGATATGTTTCTATAAAAGGAACATGTAATGGAAAAGATTGGTTTTTCACAAACTCATTTTCCAGTAGCCTGTTAAGTCTTATTTGCTGGCACAATAGGAGTCTTGCATGTAATTGCATCTCTTTTATCCCACTGTCATTGTACATTGTTGCGTGTCCGCAATCATATTTATTAATTGCACATCATAAAGAGTTGCTACCTATGTTACCAAATAGGAATCTACTATTACTATCTTTGCTCCATTATTTAAAGCTTCCTTATTATAAGAGTGTATTAAGTATCTAATATCTTTCTTTTAAATTACTCTATTTTTCTTTACAAAATGCTGAAAAATATGTCTTTCAATAAGAGTCAGTTACATGAAACCAGTGTTTCAATGCTCCAGTGCTTTTTATATCCTTAAGTTGCCTTTGTACTTCCTGCACTAAACATTAATAAAGTTAATTAGAACTCGAAAACTGGGCCTGTTTATACATACTGCATGGAGGACTTTTCAGCCATCGTGGGAATCAATCTCATGTTTCTGAGGCAGTTTTAACTGTCATTGTACACTAATTACATTTCCTGCCTTAGCTGAAAAAAGAGAGGTATAAACAGAAGTTGCAAAGATTCAGAGAAGGCCTCAGCCATTTCTCCAGCTCCCCTTGCAAACAAACAGTGGGCACAGCTGTCATAGAGAGACACTTTTGATAACTTGAAATGTGTCTTTGGTGGATAACAACTAATAGTTGTTCCACTAAGGTCTTCTGTGCCTCCACTATTAAGACTTACTACCCCTGTTTACAGGGTGCAGTAAAAATGACTATCTTCAAAGTGCAATATGATTGACTAAATAAAAAGATCCTTCAAACACAGAGCAAAGGCATGTGCAAGGGGAAGAAAAGTAAACCATCTCTTCAGTTGCTGAGGACGTGCTAAAATTAAAGGGCTAGGAGTAGAGGGCCATCTCTGAAATACTAGGAGGATGACCTACCAAGTGCGGGCGGAAGTACAAATTCATTTTCATAAACATTAAACTTGTTCATTTGAATTACTGGGTGATAGTCCACAAGAGAGAGTTGACAGTTCAGGACACTACTGTGAGTTGATCAAGCAAAGAAAAGTTACAAAACTATCTACTGATTTTTTCAATGAACAAAATGCTACTAGCAGCCTAGCATCTCCTGATTTTAAAATAAGTATTTATCTTTAAAATTATAGAACTTGAGCTACTTTTCTTTTACAGTTTGAGAAGCTTCTAGAAATGTATTCCAGGACTTCTAGTCCTTATAGTCCTTGTGTTTCTGAATTAATCCTTTCAAGCAGCCATCAAGTTAATTTGCAGTTTCTTTTGTATTACAAGGAGAACAAAAAGCTGTACAACTTCTGAGAATCCATGTAAATACAGTATCTATTTTTTCCCCTTCTGTTCTTTGTACCACCATAATTTGATCTACTCAGAGTTCAAGTACATGGTCCAGTTGAAGTACACAGTAAGTTTTCTTTCATCATCTTTCTTTAATTTCCCTTAGATGCAAAGAAATACACAGGACATTTTTGGTAGGAAAAAATGCTTGTATTCCCTAATGAGTTCAGGTAAAAATGAGTTTGAAAGTATCATGACTGTATTCTATTTCTATGCTTTCGTGTTTTTATTAAAATATAAAACTTAGCTTGTAAATTATATAGAATAAATTAATTAAAATTTAAAAATTCATTTTTTCAATTTAAAAGTTAATTCAATCTCAAAATACTTGGGTAGACCTTTAATGGTGCATGCTGGTCATTTTTAGTTAGCCATTTTTAGTATCATGTCTGCTCCTTTAACTGAAGGATTGAGTTATAAACCACTTGTGCCTAGATATGGACAAAGGTTTCACATACTGTACCAAACTCTCTGTAATTCACACCAGAAAATTAAATCCTTACAAAAAGAGCTTCTTGATTTCTTCAAATGTGATTGTTCATATAAAAGCATTTGAGGTAACCTTGCAAGGCACATTCCACTGCTGCTTCCCTATCTGAGGAGTAGACAGAAGGCACAAACATCCTTAACTTTTCTTACCAGTACAACTGTAAAGGTCTAATGCATCTTTTTGATTCTTCATGTGCATTTTGGATGACTTTTCACTCAGTAAAAGAATTTCGATTACTACATCAGCTTTTACTTTATATAGACACCATGATGGTGGTCTAAATTCATACATAATATTCTGTTTTGACCTTAGCATGATAGAAATGTTTGCAGTCGGTCTCTTCAAGCCACAGAAAGCTAAGCTTGACACCTGACTTGCAGGCTGTAGGTCATACACTAGTGTGTGTAAACCCAGAAGGCAAAGTGATGGTAGTGACTTTATTACAAAACAGTACAACACCATCAGGATGTGGTGGCTTGCATGAGACATGATACTGCTCTGAATCAGGCACTTTGTTAAAGAAGCATGGACCAGCAACCTGAAAAAAATTGTACTTACTCGTGGTTCCCAATTATTATGGCAACTCTACTGCTTGGGAGACTGTAAAGACCACAGGTAGGAAAAAATGTCTCCAATGCAGTTCTACAAACAATTTTTTGTCCAACACACAGTTTTCCTTGTTTTCCCTCATACAATCAGTCCTCAGCCTGGCCCATCCAAAATCACAGCCTCCAGAACTGCACGAGTTAATGCTGAGCGGCTTGAGGTTCTGCAGCCCTTCAGGCTTTTATAATACAAGCTGAAAAAGAAGACATTTACTCTAACACTTTTTCCACATCCATTTCTAATGAACAGGACCAAATTTTAATTTTTACACTAATCTTTTCAAGCCTTACAGTATACTCAGGAACTATAAAACAAATGGGTAATAAGGAGGGGTCAATAAACCCTAAGCTATGGCACCTAAAACATTATAATAAGCAACCAGGGTCAAGTGAAAGAGCTCAGCAAAAAAGCAATTACATGACAACATTGTTTTCTCCTGAACAAAATAAAGCATTACTATACCATTTTCTATTTTTTTTAATGTGAGGTGTGGGTTTTACACAACTGAACTGCAGCAGAAAAATAACTTCATTCAAGAGTCTGAGGAACTGTTTGTCTAGTTTGTGAAAAAAAAAAATAGGCAGATTGCAGATTTTTTCAATTTTCAGTCCAATTTTATGCCAAGATTCCTATATGTAAGAAATTCTGAAATTACCATCAGCTATTAAATTAACTACAGCACTAACTAATGAACTTGGTTTACATTTTTTTGACACATAAAGCAAGCACATTTTCTTCCTTTCCAAATACACTTTCTTCATTGCACTATTGGGTGTTTTGCCTGAAGTATAGTATTTAGATCAGGGCTGTAAAAACAGGTTGATAAAGGAGTCTGGTCACTCTGACACCAGTGAAGAATAAACAAGAGGTGGTCCAGATACAATTTTTCTGTTCCTGCCAGCTGCAGAGGTAGCCAAAGAGTTTCATACATTAGCTGAGTACATTTAAACCCCTCTGTGCTTCTACTTCCATAATGCAGCTTTTTCTTTTTGTGATCCATGCAATGGCATACACTGAAGAATTATTAAGGGAAATATTTTCTGTCAACTTACCAAAAAGACACATGACTTGCATGCAACAACCCTATATACTGTAGGAGGCATAATACTTGAATGTAACCCAGAGTCAGATATTTTACTCCACCAAAAGAAAATTGTTCCTTTTATCTAAATAAGCTTATTCCACTGCTGATACCAGAATTGTGTGTATTTTTGGAGGATAATGTACCCCTATTTTTAAATCTGTGTTACATTAGCCAGAAAACAGAAACTATGGAAAGACAGAAGTGCAGAGACAGGGAAGCAGAGCTGATAAATGTGTTGCCTGATTTTACTTCTGGGACCTAAAATTGCATCCAGTGCAGAATGAAGAAACTAAGGGGAAAAAAACTAGTCTCATCTGATGTCTTTAAAGGTCATGAAGGAAATGATGGTGGGTGATCCAGAGTTGGTATCGCCACAGGTGTCTTGTCTTTTCAAAGACATATATCAGAATATCCTCAGAATAGCAGTGCTGTTGAGCTGTTAGTTCTCAAAGCCCTTAAATGAATAAAAAGAAGAAAAAGTCTGACAGAGATTGATATGAGCCCCATAAAACCCAAGAATATTTTCGTCTTTAATCCAAGCATCAACCCTACTCCTCTTCACTTTTATAGCTAAAGGAAGAGCATGAGGAGACAGGAGTACACATGGTGGCCATACCTCTCTAATGCTGTGCCAGACAATATTGCTCTTGGCTGCAGCTGTGGCTGGCACAGCAAAGGTGGCGCAGATGTCAGTCTGCTCTCCCAGTGTTTTAGGTTGTGGGGAAAGACACAGGAACCATGGCCAGCAAATATGGCCTCAAATCATGGGATCACCATAAAAAGACCCCACAGTTCTAGAGCCACACATTCAGTATAACAAAAAAGACTGTCTTCTAAAACATTCAGGTGTCAAAACAGCAGCAAAATGTGCACATATTCCTGATGCCTCCTAAAGACAGCTGTTGTATCAACTCTCCAAGTCTGATGACTGCATGCAAGCTGCATAGGAGGAGCTTTAATCCTTTAATTATTTTGGCTTCTTTGTTATATATAGTTCTACCTTGAATTGAAATTTTCAGTCCAAAGCAGGCCATACAAACTTTGTACTCTACAACTGTTAATTAAAAAAAAAGGCTTTTGTAAAACTGTGTTTAATTTGTTGCATTTCAGTGTGAAGGTTGTTGCACATAGTTGAAAACATGCAGTGCAACAAGACTCTTTCTATTAAGTAAGACAGAAATGGCAATTATGCAGTCTGTTGATCGAATTTTTTACTAACGAAGGTACTTTCTGCTAATGGATACGAAAGCAAAGCAGTTCAGTCAAACAAGTCACCTTGATAGTAGAATGCAAGACCCATCAATTTTATTCACTACCTCTTTGGTAATGAATCTCGGAGCACAGCCCATCAGCATTGCTCCTGAAAGACAACCACTAAGGTAGAGGAAAAAAAACCACAAAAAGTGGTTTGAAAAGAAAAATGGGATGAGAGATTTCCACCCCTTTAAAAGGAGAATTGATTATGACAAATTTATCTCCAAGGTGCTTGGGCACTGCATTAAAAATGCTTAGATGGAAAAAAATACAATCCTGATGTGTAGTTGGTGGCACCTTGCCATTTTCTGCTGCAACATCATGACAAGATAACCAGAGCCCTGTCTTCATCTCTGTCCTTGAATCCACTGACATTGTGGATAATCAGAAGGAATAGTAACTATAGCAGTAAGGGAATTTTTATTGCTTGGGGTTTAACACATTACAACATGCAAACCCACACGACAAATTCATTGCTTAAGCCTCAGAATGACGGGAGAAGAGCGAGCTTCGTTCCTGTCCCCTCAGCAGGGAACGGGGCGCACTCTTGTCCACGAGGAACAGAATGACCTCTCATTAACTTCAGCTCCAAAATACAATTTTTTATTCCTTGATTAACAAATCCCCATGGAGACATCAGAAGTTTTTATTTTTCTCAGAAGGACTGCACTACAGTAAATCTTTCCATGATCTAATAAACAGTTAAAATTCAATGGCACCTAGGTAGAGAATCAAAATCATGAGGCAAGAACAAATTAAGTCCTTTCTGAAAGAGGCTGTGCAGGATCACTTCTTCCATTTCTATCTCCAATATCTTTAATACTAAATACACAAACCTATATTAAAGTTAAAATTGCTTTTAATTAGATAAAACCAAGAAGATTCATCTTTTACCCTTTGCTTGGATGCTTTGATTAGCATAGTTTCAGCACTTTGTCTCAAAGAATTAACCTGTCCCATTTTTCAACTCAGCAGTCCAATATATGAACACAGATGCCCAAAATAAGGACCTAATCCTGTGAGGTCCCCAGCATGTCATTGCGAGTACTCATCATCCTCAGAATGCATAAAATTACTCTGATCAAAGGGTTACTATAGCCTTTCAGGATCGTGCCCTAATGAATAAAATATACAAAAGTGACTTGAGTAAAATCCTTTCCAATGTGCTTATAAAGGTAAAATAAAATATTCCCCTTAGGACATTTTTCTGGCAGAACAACTTGACCCCTGTGTGACTGGCCTTCAGAAAGAAATGGGTAATCATAGGATCATAGAATCAGCCGGGTTAGAAGGGAGCTCTTAGATCAAGTCCAACCCTTCATCCACTACCACTGTGGTTACTAAACCATGGCACTAAGTGCCACATCCAGTCTCATCTTAAAAACCTCCAGGGACGGAGAATCCACAGCTTCTCTGGGTAGCCCATTCCAATGCCTGATTATGCTCTCTGTAAAGAATTTCTTCCTAATATCTAACCTAAACCTCCCCTGGCACAGTTTAAGACCATGCCTTCTTGTCTCACTGATAGCTGCCTGGGAGAAGAGACCAGCCCCCACCTGGCTACAAACTCCTTTCAGGGACTTGTAGAGAGTGATGAGGTCTCCCCTGAGCCTCCTCTTCTCCAGGCTAAACAACCCCAGCTCCCTCAGCCTCTCCTCATAGGACTTGTGATCGAGTCCCTTCATCAGCCTTGTTGCTCTTCTCTGGACCTGCTCTAACACCTCAATATCCTTCCTGAACTGAGGGGCCCAGAACTGGACACAGTACT